TTCGTTCTGATCTCCGCTTCAAACTGGTTTCCTCCCTGTCCTAGTAAAACCAGACCGCCTGGTTACGCTGTAAACTCCTCTCAGACGATCGATATTGCGTCCTTTCCTTCCTTATGTAAACTAAATCAAATTTCTTGCATTTCTAAACATTTGCTTAACCCTTTCCTTGCTTAACACCTTCACTGCCACGTGTCAGGGGGCCACAAGCAAATTTTCATTATTCTATGCATAGTATTACATTATTATTATTTCTTTTTCATTTTTCAAAATAATGTCTCGAGGTCCTCCCAGGCAACCGATGACCACCGTTGCCCCATCGGGAATCAGTCTCCGGTCACAGGTGACCAACGTGGCTAACTTCGTCAAACAGAACTCCAAAAAATTGCCCGTTCATCTTCGTTACTCGATGCTTCATTCTCCGTTCCCCCCAAAAAAAGGGCGAATTTTCGCGAGCAAACCGGTGCACAGCATTATTTCTGATTGCAGGTGACAGTGAACGATCGTCTAGCGCTGCGCGGGCCACTTCTTCTACCTTTCCTCGCTGGTTTCACCGCCCTAAGCGAGCTCGATCTCTCGCTGGACAAGTCCACCATAGGAGGCAGCAACGGATCGCTGCTCTTCATCGACGACAAGATCCTCCAGCAGTTCTTCGCCTGTCTCTCCTCGCACTTCCGGAATCTGCAATCGTTGAGAATCAATTTCTGGCGGATCACGCTGGAGGACAGCGAGAAGACGATGAGACAGATCGCCAAGTACCTCAAGCTGTGCAACCTGAGCTTCCTCAAGGCGAACGGTCTGATAGTAACGGACAGCGCCAAGAAGACTCAAATGGAGCACGTTTTCGTCCAGACTGTCTTGACGCATCTTCAGTATCTCACCTGGCTATGTTTGGACGGAGTTGACTTGACGGAGACGCAGGCTTCGACTATTGGAAAATGCGTGAGGGATCGGTTTCCAGGTACTTCGTTGGAGATCAGCGCTAAAGATGTGCACGTCAAGTCTGTGAAAGCTTTGGTGGCCGCCGTAGAAGAGGGAGGCAAAGCAGAGGTTGTCTATACAGGTGGATCCAATTGTAGATTGAAGATCACCAAGATCCAGAAGAACAGTAAGGGTAAGAAGAAGTGAGGATTCACGGAGGGACCCTTGGTTGTCAACGATGTTGAAGATTCGTAATTGTGTATGGTCACGAAAAGCGTGGCTGAACGATGGATTTGATTATGAATGAATGGAATGTGAAAAGGAGGGGAAACGTCCAATATAGAGTTGATCCTTGAGAGAGAGAGAGAGAGAGAGAGAGAGAGAGAGAGGGAGAGCGAGATTATTGGTTTCTGTGTGATTATTACGAGTGTCCATGGGTGATCCGGTGAAACGGATCTGGGAGGAAGAAAAAGGGAGATAGAGAAGCTGATGAGAGGATTGTGGCTAGGGTCAGGTCGTAAAGGCATAGTTTTAGAGAGATACCAGTCGAGGATTTTAGCCAATAAGAGGCACGTAGAATAAGACGACTACTTAAACGAAAGGGGAGAAAACGTATGGAGAGATGAAAGGAGGATGGAATGAAGCCGACACTTTGTGGATTTTCATCTTACTGTGATTTCCTTTTCTGCGCGTCGTCATTCTCCTAACGATAGGTGGTCCGTAGATCGTAGCGTTGTTAGATCGAGTTTTATTCTCGATGACCCGTTGAATGTTCAAAGGGAGAGAGAAAGAGAGCGAGAGAGAGAGATATCTTTATTTGAGAAGACGTAGTCTTTCGAACGAGCAAGCGTAAAATGAAGAAAGAAAAAGAAGGATGAAAACGACGAGATAGAGAGATTATCGCAAGACCAACACACACAGATATACACACGTGCTACCGAAAAGGTATTTAAAGAGAGAATAAAAGAAAGAAAGGGATAAATAAAAAAGAGGCTGTTGCAACTAGATACGTTCGTTGTTGTTAGATGGACTGTAAAATACAAATTCAGAGTAATATATTATT